ATAAGTGTCTACTGTTAAAACAATTTAATAAATATAATTGACTCCAAACTTTTGTATGGTAGTGTATGTGATATTCTGAATTTATTTTTTAACAGATAACATATTTTTATTTTTCCATATACCGGTTTTCAGGAGCTAGATGTTCATTGCAATATCAAAGGGTCTTTAAACAATAAACGAATAGGCTTCTTACATCATTACAAAAAAAAACTTGTTACTAAGGAATGCTCTAAATAAGAATGACATTGTATCTTCTTTATGCACCTTGATAATAGTCTGTTTCTAAAGCTCCCCTTCTGTAATGAGAATTAATGGATGCATGTGGCGAGGAGAACAGAGCGTTCAATTAGTAGACAGTCAGGTCCTTGACCCAAACAATTTACTAATGAAGAGAGCGGACCAACATCCTCTCTGCACATCTCCCACCCAGCTCACTGGAGTGCTGTAAATGAACGTACAGAGTCAGACTGAGAAGAAAGCAACGTATTTAAAGCCAAAAAGCTTGCCACAACAACTTCTGACTCACACACATACATATGCACAAACACATTGCTGTATATCCATCCATTGATATCAAGTACATCTAGACTTAATATCCGGGATCACTAAAAACATCAGCCAAAGGAAGTGATGAGTCATTACCACACTCGGCTCACAGGTCAGTGATGTAAAATAAGTTAACCACAATATGACAGATAAGCAAGTAGACTTGTGAAACCAACACTGCATCCAAAAAATATTTAATATTCAAAATGAAATAATAAGCAAATAGAGACAAAGCCGGTATATTATTTTAGAACAATAACTGAGTAACAATGATGGTTTCTGTGGTACATTTTTGTAAGATGGATGTCGAGCAAGAGAAAAACTGGCAGAGTATCTCTAGATAACAGAATGTGTTATGTACTTTCCTATATTACTGAGAGCGCTGTGGAGCATTTTAGAAGTATTGATTTTACTGCACACAGAATTACATCACCAGTGCCCTGATCTGATCCCGTTTACAATGGTGTGGTCAGATGGTAATGCTGTGGTACTTTAATGTAAGTGCAGGCCAGTTGCATCATGCACACACTAGCTCATACTGCAATGCACAGCTGGTTAAGGGGTCGTGCTGCATCACACTAGTAGTGATGCAGCTGATTTATATCTGTGTTTCCCTCACTCACAAAACAGCAGCAGTATCATTCATCACATAGGAAGGATGCAGGGAGAAGGGGGAGTGACATCAAAGATATTGATCTTACTACCCTCCACACAAATTTAACACACATTTCTGACACAAATATTTGTATTAGACAGTTACGTTTGAATAACACTGAAGAAATTGCAACACCAAATCTAAAGTTTATGGCTTAAGTAATTAATCTCAGTCAGTTCTATCCTGATTGATCTACTACTCGTCTAAAGCGTAAGGATAGATCCTCCTTATTTAAGCTCAAGCTTATTTAATGCTTTATTCAAATGCAGATTCACCTTAATTTACTTTTATTAAATCCCACACTACAGCAATCCATTTAAACATGTATTATTCTAAAACAAATCTGTATGTTAGCTGTTACTAGTATTTTTTAATTGCTAGCGAGTAATCCATTTAAGACTAGTAACAATACATACAATTACTTATTCCTTTGGTACTAGTCACTATACTAACTGCATAGTTATTTGGCGCTACAGGGATAGTGACTAGCAGCAAAAGAATAAGTACTATGATTGAATGCATGTACTAGTGACAAATTGATTAGTCATGAGTTCAGTATGCACTAGTAGTGATGAATAGATACCATTTACGAATAAAATTACTAACAATGTGCATGTACTAAAATCTAACAGTAACTTAGTAACATAAGATACTAGTACTTTTAAGGAATACATGTTTAAACGGCTTGCCATAACCTGACAAACATATCGAGACTACAAGTTAGTAAATAAAGGGAAATTAACATTTGTTTTAACTCTTCTTGTGTACTGAATTGGTTTATTTTCTTTTTCAAGAACATAACATCACCTTACACTTCCGTATACGTGAAAGGTGTTAACGCAGCCCTTCACCCTTCATTCATTTAAATGACAGGTAGAGACCAGTAGAACCTGACCCATACAGCCCTGACTGATGTTCATGATGAAAATAACAATAAATGTAACGTTAAATAAGCCACGCTGAGGTTCGTCAACACTGATCTCTACAGCGTTTTGAGCAAAAAGAGCTGTGTCACTGTTTGTTTTATATTCTGTTTCATGTATTTCGCTAACGTTGCATTTACTCCTAAATGAACGACTGCTTACAGTAGTCAATGTTTATATTACTAGTAGCTAATGTTACCTTGATGTTTTAAGCCACTTACCGGTCTATGTAAGATTAAGGATAAGAAGTTTTCGCCTTTCAGGGATTTCCTACTGTACGAAGTCTCTCTGAGTGTGTTGACAGTCGAGATATGGTTGCAGGAGGAGACACTTTTCCTCCAGACAGCGTGGCTGCTCGCTCCCTCCCTTCACTATCCTTAGCCGTTCCTGTTTTCTCTACGCCGACATCTGACGATGGCCTTGGCTGATTTCTTCAGTCTCTGATTGGCTCTCACCATCCGCCGTGATGCGAGGACGCGCCCAGTGAACAGTGAACAATTCATCGGACCAGGTTTTGATTGGCTAATTCCGCGCCGCTCGGCCAATCAGATTGCACTTTTAGGCGTTTAGAAACGCGCATCAATGACCCGATTGTGCAAAGTGTACTTGAGTTTTGAAAGTGAGGATTTCTAAAATAAGTTGTCACAATCATTTCTATTTTGCCAGACAACTAAACAAGCATAGCTAATTGCGTCATAGTGCGCGCAGGAGTCTGGCCATATATTAAGGTCATATTATAGTAATTATATTATTTAATTTAAATAATAAAGCAAACCAAAGTATTGAAAAGAACAACAACCATTATTATTATATGAAATAATATTCACATTTGCCAACCAAAGATCGAATCATTAATCATTAGTCTACACAAATTCAGAGGCTTTTAAAGGCAGGCTCCCCAGGCAGCGCAATCTTTCTTTTAAAATTAAATTTAGCTCCATATCTAATGATTAATCACATATAAGATCAAATTGATGCAGCTTCTCAGGTGAATGAATTGGCCTTTACAAAGGGCATTGCAGCTGATTGCAGCACTGGCTGTTGCTAATGCACTGTTTGGCTCCTGTCCACGCGGCAGCATCAGTTAATGGGTTTGAAGGGCCAAGAGATATGACTCAAGCTGAATTTACAAAACAGACAGTACAGGCTTTAAATAGAAACTTTGCCATTGATCACTGGATGTCACCAGTAGTGTTTGCAGAAGCAAGACTTTGATAAGTCACAAGTTTAACAGCGTGGCATAGGGGGTCAGTGCCAAGTTGCAAGAAAAGCATTATAACTATGTGAAAAGTTAGCTTCATATTTGTAATACAGTTACTTTTAATGCTATAATCCACCCATCCATCCAGTATGCACACACACCCCCCCACACACACAATGGCTTGTGAAAGTATTATCCATTTATTTTTTCACACTTTGTTATGCTGCCTTATGTTAAATCTACACTCCATACACCATAATGACAAAACAAAACAAAAAAAGTTCTGTGATAACTTTGCAAATGCTAAAAAGGAAAAACTGAAATACATTGCATAAGTGAAACTACTTAGCCTATTAAAGCACCTTTATAGCCTGATGTCTTTTTGGGGTATGATGTGACAAGCTTTGCACATCTGCATTTGGGCATTTTCCAGCACCTTTCTTTTCTTCAGATCACCTTTGTCAGGTTGAATGAGGTTGTTCGAAACTTCTCCCATCAAGGATAATAGAGGCTTTATGCTTCTGTCAACATTCAATGCAGCAGAATAACTTTTGTTTTGTCTTCGTCAGATCTGTCTTAATAGAATCCTGTCTTTGAGCTCTACAGATTGGCTTGGTTTTTGCTCTGAAATGTATTTTCAGCTGTTAGACATATATTGAGAGGTGCGTGCCTTTCTAAATCACACCTATTCAGTTGTATACTATTTGCCATTAACTCCACTTAAGGTGTAGTGACATCTAGAAGTAAATTTGTAATTATATATATTTTTAATACATTTTCAATCACAAATCTGTTTTTGCTTTGTCATTATGGTGTATGTTGACAAATAAGTAATATAAAGTAGTTTAACACAAGGCAGCAAAATGATCAAATGTGAAGAAAGGGCTTTGAATACATTCGAAAGCCACTGTGTGTGTGTGTGTGTGTGTATATATATATATATATATAAATAAAACCACCTCAAGTACATTTAGAGAAATGGAACTTGGCAGGAAATTTATCACCTTGGAGATATTGAGCATGCCGATACAATACCGTCAAGGCAAGTCTTGCATGTCTGAGAGAGATAAATATATGTGGGTGGGCATATTTATTTCAAGACTAAACAAACATATGCTTACCTCTCTGGTTGGTCAACTTACTTGCTGTTAAGCTACATCAATATGATTACATGGGCTTCCATCTGGAGTCTAGAAGCTTTCAGTGGTGATAATCACCACCTAGTGGCAAAAGCCTGACACTGACATCCATGAGTGAAATAAGAATCCGATACGCACTTTCAATAACTAAAACTTATGTACGTATATTGACAAGCATCTCAAAGCACAGTAGTGAACATTTGAAGTGGTTCAAGAAAAAGTTAGTCAAAGTTGTTCTAAGACAAGAACAGGTATTGTTCAAAATTCATATTTAACTTCTATAAAATGTTTTGATCCACTTCAAATGTTGACTATTGTAGTTATTTCACCTGCATGTTTAAGATTTTTAAATTTACTTTGATTACATTATCATTTTACACAAACTAATTTTGGACAAAGGTGGAAACTATTTGAAGAGGAATGAGTATTCAGCCACCCACTTGGTAAATTTATTACATATATCCTTAATTAGAACAAGCGAAAGAATAAATTAAATCCCAGAAACATCACTTAAAACAAAAACAAAGCCAAGGTTGTCAGAGCCAAGCACATTCTTTATTAAGTGTACAAAAACAAATGAAAAACAAGGTAAGTGCAAAAATTGTGCCTTGAAAGAGACTACGAGAAACATGGCTTCGGCCATCTAGAAACCTACAAGAGAGGAAGGCACGAGACAGATGCTTGTCACAGTATTTATTTAGAGTGCACATTTTTTTCAAAACGAGAGAGAGAGAAAGAGACTGAGCGAGAGTGAGATAATTTACTATAACGTGAATATACTGGATTTATGAAAGAGCTGACTATACAGCTATAATAAAGAGAAGTACAGGCATGTCTTATCCAACGTCATGGGCTGTAAATTCAAAAGAGGTCTCCGATGGTTTGACCAACACTGTGTAAACGGTAAGACAGTTTAGGAGAATGTTCACGGGGACAGACAAACACTTTAGCATAGAAATGTCACAGAGAGTATGTAGTCTTACTGGATAAAAAGAAAAATCTTTGTAAATATTACATGATTGAACGGAAGAATAAAGTGGGTTGGTTTTTTTTTTGCAAAAGGCGCACACACACACACACCTGATCACTATCAGAGGAGTGAGAATAACAACTGTGTGGAGCTGATCCTTTCCAAGAATTCATTCTGCAAAGGCAGAAGAGAGGGACGCCAAAGAATCACATACTAATCGAACAGATTTATACTCAATACCAAGACACCCTCTGTTGAAAGATCAAAATGCTCTTTATTTCCTGAAATAGAACATCTAAATGTAAATTTAGAATGAAAATCTTCTAAAATACAGCAAAACAGCCTCAAACTGAATTTGAAGGCAGTTCGAACCTTGTTTCTGGACTAACCAACAAGAACGGAGAGCTTGGACAGAGTACAAATCAGTAAAGTTGTGCTAAATCTAAGTGTTCTACATGGGTCACGTGTAAGGAAGACCAATCGTGAATGTACCCGTGTAAAGGGAACGGGGATGGTGTGGCGGCCAATCAGCCGTGTGAACTAGCTCCTAAAGCAAAGTGAACCATGACCTTAAGGCAGATACTAAGGCCTCTGAGCTTGTGTTGCCAGGAAAAAGCAAAAAAAGGCACCAGCTAAGAGAAACCCGGGAGCCAGCAGGCCGCTTTGGCGTCTCACGCTGCCTGCCAAATCACCCCAAGCCATCCCTGTGCACACACTAAAGCTGCGAAACATACACGCAATCCACCTACACACATGCAAAAACACAACATCATCCTCAGCCAACCGAGGGCCAGAGCCCTTAGGAAAAATGTCTTCTTTCCCCTCTCTTCTCCTCCTTGCTTTCCACTCACAGGATGGTACACTTTTTCTTTTTCTTCTCTCCATCCTTTTTGGCCTGGTCACTGGTAGGCTTATCTTCAGAGAAGCTAGAGTAGATGGTGTCTGCGGTAATCGGTTCCCTCAGGGCAAGGAACCAACGGCCCTCGCTCAGGTAGGACAAAGTGCCCAACTCCATCTCGACCTGGGTGCCCTCCTTGCCCTCTTTCTGCAGAGCCAGGATATCCAGCAGATCCAAACCGGTCTGAACCGACTCCACGCCGGCAGAGCAGCCTAATGTGACGTGGGCACGACTACCCCCTGGGAGAGACTCAACGCTGGGCATGAGGGCCGGAGCAACGCCATCCTTGTCCGCTCCCTCGGGCCACAGCTTCATCTGGGTTTCTGTCAAAGCCACACGGGCCCCAAATGTACGAGGGGTCACTATGAGGGCAGTGACTGAGAGCTCATCAGCCTTGCCAAACGATTCTTTGACCACCTGCAAGAAAAATGGTCAAATAAGTACTGTATATTTTGGTAGGACTTTACAATAGTTAAAGACCCTGTAACAGCAATAAAATAATAATATTGTAAACTCATTATAAATGTTACAAATGTATTGCTAAAACATATTACAAAAACTGGGAATTGTGAAGTACTGAATTTGAGTTAGAGCGTTAAACAGATTTTCATCATTGCTATTTTCCGGATTTTTGGGGCGGGGCTAAAAATGGGGGCTCGATGACGCACTGGAGCCCTTGAGCTCCTCCTGGACACGCCCCTACTTGATGACGCACTGAGGCCATTGAGGCTGGCCCCTCCCCTAACAATAGAGCACATTCGCGTCAGTTCGGCGCTCAATCGCGACTTACTGTCAGTACTATTAGTTACTACAGCCTACAGTTTGCGAGCTAGCTATGCCTTCGACACGGAAATGCGTGTCTTTATTTAAATCATCGTGTCTTTATTTAAATTTCCTAAAAACGATCACATCAAGAAGAGGTGGATTCATTTTGTGAAGAGCCACCTTGATGGAGAGCTGAGTATCACCACCAACACCCACCTCTGTTACTCTAGTGATAATTTTACACGGGATAGTTTTATAAACTTTCGTCAGAGACAACTGGGATTCACGGATAATCCGCTGTTACTGGTGAACGGGGCCGAACCGACTATCTCCTGCCTCGGCCTTCATCAGCAGTTTCACCTAATATCACCGTCGGCAGCTTTCCCGTGAGTGGGCGTGGCTTCAGCACAGCCAGCGGACACGCCCCCAGCGTTTGAGAGCAGAGAATACTGCTCATTTTTTCAAGATTCTGATGGCTTATTTTGTGTACTTGCCGGCTTGGTATCATTCAAATTTGGCTGGGTGGCTAACAACACATTTTCTGTGGTGTGATTAATGCAGTTGTTTTCAGGAACTAACAATGAATAATAATTTTACAGTATTTATTAATCTAATCGGTTTATTTTACATCTGTTATATGTACAGCACTGTGGTCAAATAATGTTGTGTTTATTTATGCTTTATAAATGAATGAAATTAAAAAGGTTTTAATGATTGATTCCAAATAATATTGTAATATTTTATATAGTAAAAAACAAGGACAAGCTTCAAATATCCAGCCAGAGTATTAGTTAATGGCTGAAAAACTGACCTGTAGCTCTGCATACTCTTTTGCCCCCTCTGCTTTGCCATAGTCGCAGAACTTTGTAGTGCAGTGGAGGGGCAGTGCATTCTGGAAGTACTGCTCAAGATCCACCTCTTTTTCTGCCTCACCAGTAACTGGGAAACCGAAAACAACGTCAGAAACATATCCGCAAGCACACAAACCCTGAGAAGAAACAAACGCACATTATGCGTTTACATAAGCAACTCACATTCACTGATGTGTTCTTTGAAGGCCTCCAATGTGTCCAGAGTCTTGAGAAAGTCCATGGTTGCACACTTAATTCGCTCCTCTTCCTCTGGAAGCAGGAACCAGCCAAAGAAGAAAGGCAGCTCTGGCTCTTTCTGCTGGGTCTCAGCCTCTTTTGGAGGCTCGGCTTGAACCCCATCAGCCTCTGGTTGTGGTACCTTATCCTCTCCTCCTTCTTTAGCGGCTTCTTCTAGCTTGGCTTCTTCCACAGCAGCGGGTTTGGACTCTGCCTCTTTGGCAGGCTCCTCCTCTTTCACAGCTTCTTCCTCCTGCTTCTCGGGTACAGAATTCACTTGAACCTGTGGCTCCTCAGATTCCTTCTTCTGTTCTGGCTGAGGGAGTTTCTCCGATGACTCGACAGCTGGGGTTTCCTCGGGAGATTTCGCTGGAGCCAGCTCGGGTTCAGATAGTTTGGCAGGAGGCGCTTCCGATTCTGTCGCTTTCTCCTTTTCTGGCAACTTCTCAGCAGAATGCTCCATCTCAGAGGCCGCTTCTGGAGGACCTGCTGCTTCTGAAGGTGCTGGAGCCACCTCTCCAGACTTGGGCTCCAGTTTCTCCTCTTGCTGCACTGCCACTTCCTGCGTCTCTGCAACAGCCTCTGGAACTTCCTGATTCTGTTCAGCTTCCATTGCTACACAGCTGGCCGCTTCTAAAAAACAAGACAAGTTTGCAATAGTGAGTGTGAATGCATTTAAGGGAGACCACATAGAAGATGGATTACACTACATATACAAATGTTAACAAAGGGTTAAATGACAGGCAGCGCCAGGAACGCTTGGTTAAAAGATTAACAGAAACTCACAGCAAGCCTGTCTTCCAATTGTCCAGAAATGCAAAGCAATATACACCTGAACATGGTAGTTGAAACAACAACAACCTTTTTAGACCTTTCACAGCACATAGGATCTAGGAAATATCAATTTTACTACGCACAACTGCATATTTCAGTTCTACAACCTCTGTACAGAGTCCAGCTCTTGTCCTTCTAAGCAAATCTGAAAACCACTGCTCAGTTTAAACCGGTGCACATTCGAATTCTTATGAAATAAAGCAACACAGTGCATTTCTTGTGAAATTTGAGCAGCCATCAGACTACCAACGCAAGAGCTGCTTTTTCTCCGGCTTACGCATCACTCTGCTTTTTATCCATATTTCTCTTGGTCTCATATCTTTAACTCTTTTAAAGAGGCCTAAAGAAACCCACATAAACAGTATGCTGGAAGACTTCAGTTTCAATGATTCTTAGTTTGCGCCGTCATCTAACTGTCTTCTAAAGTAATAGCTGCTAGATTTCACAGTAATAAGTAGAAGTACAGCTGTGGCCCAGGCACATGAAACCGAGTCACACCATGTCAAATGACACGCTTTAATTGTGAAACCAGTTGTCATCATCTTCTGGACAAAATACATCTGTTCCCCATTTTAAATGGAACTATGCAAATCTTTAGAGCTTAATCAAATGACAAACCCATCAGCCGGGCAAACCATTCACATCTCATGGTTTCCATAGGCACCCTTTACTTACTAAATAACATGAACTCTTCAATGCAGAGGCTGGATTTTAAAAAGTAAGGCTTTAATTTAACCTTGGCCACGGTCCAGATTATGATGAAAGTGTGAGAAAAGCAGAAGCTGGGGCCTGTTTTACAAGAGCCCAGGGGTGAGCCATGAGACACAAACAGTCGAGCCATGAGACACAAACACCTGCACATAATTCGGGCCGCCACGTTGTGGCTGTGCCTAAATATCAAATGTGCTGCCTACTTAGACAGTATATCTAGGACGCAAACACATTCTGGGTCATTTCAATGTTGATGTCTAATTCCCAAATGCGGTCAAGTTAGGCAGCTCACTCAGTGGCGGTTCTACTTTGAATTACACCCAGGGCGAGACCCCCTTCTGAGCTCACTGGATTTTGACACGCAGCCTTTGTGTGATCAAATTAGATTCGGGCACGCCAGCTAATCTATGGAAGACAAAGAAAACCCCAAACGCCCTAGATTCACTTAGACAGTAACGACGAATCAAGCAGATGTCACGCGACACACGCATAACTGTAACGTTACTTGATTTAACGATATTGAGCACACACATTTTAGATGGCCAATTTGTGCGCCGATTCAAAAGAAACGCAAACTACATTTCATTCAACTAATGTCTAAATCTACAGAAGCTTGTAAATGAATACGATGAAATACGCGAACTCCGTTAATTAGCGGTAAGTTAACAATGTTAATCCAGGGATTCGGGGAGTGGCAGTGCCCGGCCACGCTGCATGCAGACAAAACAAATCAGCGTGGCAATGCCTCGCGCAGCTGGGGAAGAGAAAGCACACCACAAACACATTTTTTTGTTACATCTAAATCCTTTGTTTTTTCGTTTTATATAACCTTAGATTTGAATAATCAAACTTATTGGTTGCAAATATGATAAACAAGATTAAAAATGTAATACTCAGTGCACAGCGTAAATGCAACTCACTTGATTACAACGCAGGCAGATGTATGAAAAGCTGTCACCGTTTCCCGAGGCTAAAGGTTGAAAGCACCGTACAGCCAAATTCCACGTTTCTCCAGAGCGCTGCGCTGAAAACCCCCGCCTGGCCGAGCACTAGAAATAATCAGGAAACAAAACGGAAACCACTGGCTCTTGAGCAGCACGCTCTGTGCGTGCACGAGAGCGCGGACACGGAAGGGAGAGGCAGAACAGACAGAGGCAAATTTTAAGCGCGCTCCCGCTACTGCTGTACGTAACCAGCCGGAATTTGTACTTTTTTGACATCTTACTGCTTATGTTTACGTCTCAAATTATCATATGGTTTAATTCATACATTATTACAGTTCCATCTTAACTTTAATTTTATAACAATGACAAATCTTAACTCTAAATAGGCTATTGTAAATCTCTTTACCCCGGTTTTACATACAAAGTCCCAAACTAAAATGCATGTTTGAGCTGTCTTAAAATAAACAGTGCCATTGTTTTGTCTCATGATACACACCAGTAATGTTTTCTTTCTAAGGCATATTTATAAAAGCTATTAAATGTCCAGTCCTAATTGAACTAAGGCCTAATCCTGGCTTAATCTAAGCAGTCTAAACTGTTAGTAGAGGGTGCGAATCAATTATGTGTTGTGAGGTTCACATACAGGGCAGGACTGAGGGCCCCTGGGCTTGAGTTTATGTTTGGGCCCTACCTACACCATGTCCATGACATCAACTAGAACACCCTTATGGAGTAGCACAAACTACACAAACATTTAAATATGCTTTGAAGTTCCTAGATCAATTAATACGCAACATGCCTAGCCTAGTCAAAGATTAGAGGTAATATTAAATGTTGAAATAACAATATTACTATTAAATACAATAAAATACATGAGATTCTCTCTGTTCAAAGATCAAAACCCTAACCCTAAACAATAGAGCCAAAGGACAGTATTTTTTAATGCATTGTGATATCTCTATGTCAGATTCTTAAATGTAATCAATAAATTCAATCAGAATTAAAATACACCTCAATCAGAATAAAGAACAGTAAAATGAACCTGATGAGGCCAAACCACCACTTGCTTCACACACACACACACACACACACACACACGCACACACACCAAGTATGAACTTGACTTCTGGCAGACTCAAAAAGAAATATGAAGATCGTCAGATTATACTATTATGAATAGATGCCAATTGCATTTTCAATAGGCAGCTATTAGTCTTTGAATAAATGCTTACAGGTCTGTTGTACAAGAGCATACCTAGCAAACCTGAGCGCATGTTACGTCTTGCCGATGTCTGTGAGGGACGTGTGAAATGTATGAAGGGCAGCTGAGTGGTTATGCGCTTTGACATTGCACTGACAGTAGTTGCAGTTAAGAATCGCTGCTTCAGCTTATTGTAGAGTTCAGCACAAATGCAGGTTGGCTGCGACCAGTTTCTCACATGTGTTTGTGGTGTGTTTACGTATTTAGCAGATATAACCCACACAAACATACTCTCTCTCTCACACATGCACAAATTGGCAGCAATTCCTATACGCAATCTGTCAGGGCATTTACTTGTGTTAATTTTTGTTGAAAGTCAATATCGACTCAATAGATGGAGTGTAAACTTAATCAGATGTCAAACCTAAACTCATTTGTATGATTTTCAATTCAAACATGTTTGGATTATGAGTATTTCTCTTTATCAACAGAAGGTCACAGCACAAGTGTGTGTGTCTATAGCAAAACATTAAGAGTATCTGGGCAACATCGCTTGGACACTGCATCACAAATATCAAACATGATTTGTGATAACTGAAACTGTGACAGTCTGTTTATGCAAAACTATGCAAAACATATTTTTACAATATGCAAACAAGCACAGAGGAGGCAGTCATAAAGTAATCCTTAACCAATGACACCCAAATGCAATCCAACACAATGTTCCTCAGGCAGATTTTATTCCACTAGTAAGGATGCATTAGTTCTGACTTGTCTTGGAGGTGGATTGCAGACATTTTATTCAGATGGGTTTCTCTTCTTACTGGGTCACTCTGTGTCTTGCTTCACGAAGAGCCTGCAGGGTAGAGAAATTGAGGAATTGATTAAAGTCAGTCAAATAATAGCAGAACAACATGAAGAAATATGATATTAGAGCAACAGGGTAGTCAAGAATCAGGTAACGTGCAAAAAATGAAAACTGATCAATGAATCCATGTAAATATTACAATTATCAGTTCAGATATTATGACAAAACAACTAGTATTGATAAGTATTCTGTCACCATGTACTAACTACGCACAACACAACAATATTCCAGTGACGCATTGCGCGCAATGTAACATTAGAACAGCTGTTTTCCTACGAATAAAATTAGGACAACGTTTTCGTAACTTTTTCTCCAAGCATAATCTTTGTCATTGCTTTCCTTACGAAAGTCACGGTGGTTTTGTCATATAATATAAGCTAATATTTCTTAGCTTCCATAATCAATCTCCTTTGATCCACTTTAAAGGGTTAGTTCACCCAAAAACGAAAATTAAGTCATTAATTACTCACCCCCATGCTGTACCAACCCGTAAGACCTTCATTCGTCTTCGGAACACAAACGAAGATATTTTTGATTAAATTTAAGAGCTGGATCACTGCTACATAGGCTGCCTCGAAAGGGATCGAAACTTGACGGCCCAGAAAGTCATTGAAGAAAATGTTTAAATATGCGAAAAACATGCACAAGAACTGAACTGAAGTAGTTGAAGGAGATCGTAATTTTTGTGCATGCATCGTGGAAATCTCTTGAACTCTCGTCTCAGGCCTACAAGGAAAAAAAGGAATAGTCGAATAAAGTCGTTATTTTGCACAAAAAGTATTCTCGTCGCTTGATAAATGTATAGTTGAGCCACTGTAGTCACATGGAATATTTAAACATTTTCTTCAATGACTTTCTGGGCCGTCAAGTTTCGATCCCTTGGGCAGCCTATGTAGCAGTGATCCACCTCTCAAATTGAATCAAAAATATCTTCATTTGTGTACCGAAGTCGAGCGAAGGTCTTACGGGGTTGGTACGGCATGGGGGTGAGTAATTAATGACTTAATTTTCATTTTTGGGTGAACTAACCCTTTAATGTTTAATATGCACAAGCCCCACAGGGTGATGCCATAGAAGTAGAAACTAAGCGAAAGACAAAATATAGTGTGGCTTGACAGAGTTGCCTGACCCTTTAAATGAGTGACTAACAGTTTCAAGGGAATTCGACAGGATAGACATTGCAGAATATTACTACCCCCACTTGCAAGGTGTAAGGCTTTTAGGTGTGGTCACATTAGTGAAATTCTGCAAAACAAGTCAGTTGTCCATTGTCAGCAGCGATGTTTAAAGCATAGGCTCACACTTTCAAACTAAGCAGCTTTACAAACCAAGCGTGACCAATATAAACCCAATGCAAAATCTGCATAGGGGAAATCTTTTGCCCTTGCCAAATTTCTGATCACATGGATTCTAATTGAAATGACTGGAATTTACCTGCAAACATTTGCCAAACAATGGTAAATGTGACCGCACCTTTAGGTCAAACTGACAAAATCTTCCATATTGGTCCTCTGTGACATACACAGATAATACATTTTGAAATGAAGAACGAGATGGATGAGGGAGAGAGTGAGAGAGCAGGATAGGAATGTCTGTGTTGACCTTCTGGATGGCTTCGCTGGCAGAGTGGTCCTGCATCAGTTTTGCCCGGTCCAGTGCTCTCTCAAAGTGCAACACACTGGCCTTGTAGTTACCCAGCTTCACTATGTAAGAGAGAAAGAGGATGTAAAGTGATCTAAATCGCACAGCATGGCGTAGATCAAATATACATAACGACCACATTAACTTCCTATTGATTCTGAGCATTGTGGGAAATCAGATTATTCATGGTCACAGAGTGCAATAAACTGCTGACTTCCTGGGATTCTGGGCGATGTAATTTGGACTCACATTCGGCCTGCGCCATGAGCACACTGGCATTGAGCTGCCATTTCTCATCAGTGATGTCATTCGCTGCCGTGAGAGAGCGGGAGCCATAGTCTCGTGCTTCGTTGTAGCGCTTCAGCTCAAGGTAACAGCGGCCGATCTCATGGAACAACCAGGCTTTCTCTAACCCGCCACATGCTAAAGGCACCTTCTCCTCCCAGCTATGCAAACACACACATAAACACACAGAACAAAATGAAATTACTATTACAGTACAATAGACTTGTCTGTGTACATAAACACGAAAGTAAACTTTAATTAAAGGCAAATGCACTTACACTTCTATAGCTTGTTGGAACTTGCCAATCCGTGCGTACACACGGCCAATGTTGTCAAGAGCCCTGGATTTACTGTCCGTCAGGTCACTATGACACGAAGCACAAACCAAACACACCTGATGAATAGTAGTTTATTAACCAACCAAGAAAAACAAAAGGTAGTCTTCCTGCTCTTATTAGCGCTCACCCTTTCTTGGCCAGCTCCAGATCTTTCTCATGATGATGCAGAGCCTTGTCCATATTCCCAAGATCCATCAATGCATTGCCTACACAGAAGATAAAAGAACATTTTGTTTCTCTGAACCTTGTGCTATTGATATTAATATTTAAGTATTGAGCAGATGAGATTCCCAGACTCTACCAATGCAGCTGTGCAGGTTCCCAAGCACTTCTCTCTTGTTGGGCAGCACCTGCTCAGACCATTCCTTCACCACCTTTATGAGCTCGCGGGCCTTCTTTAGGCCACTTTCTGCATTGCCGGCACTCAAGGCTGTCAATTAAACAAATTATTCTCAATAAACCCAATAACATACAGAACATTTCCTGAAAATGTTTGCCCATCCATTTGCGATACCAGAGTGTTGCGAAGATTGTTCCTATGAGTCTATAGGATTTTTAATGTCCACCAGGCAAGACAAGTCACCTTAAAAAAAAATCTCTTTTTTCTGTTGGTCAACGTGGTGAACCCATGTGACAAATGTGAATCTCATGTGAAATTCCAGAATGTGTGGACTGGATTTCGCCCTCCGACGAAAATCCACTGAACAACAATAAATCTGCTGCAGCTTTATAAAAGTAATGGCACTTCTCAACAAGCAGCAGAATTTGATGTATTGTTCATGTCCATGGCACAGATTGTACAGTACAGTTATGTGCCAAAGTTTCATAGTTATATTTTGGGCTTTGTTCAAATGTCCTTAGCAAGCACTATTACCTTTTATTAATAACATTTAAATAATCAGCTGGTCTGCTAACACAAACATTGTGGAGTGATCTGGAGAATAATTAGGGTCATAATTCCAACATTATCTCCAGGTTGTCGTAGGCCAGTCACTCATCACTCATCAGTTAGCTAATAATCATACTAGTAGGCATACACTGCAGTTCAATAGTTTGGGGTCGGTAAGATTTTTCTTTTTTAAAGATAAATGAATGACTATTTTATTTAATAAGGATGCATTAAATTGATCAAAAGTCACAGTACAGACATTTATAATGTAACAAAAGTATCACATTTTCAACTGTTTTCAACACTGATAAAAAAAAATAAAACAATAAAATTCTTGAGCATCAAATCATAATATTAGACTGATTTCTGAAGGATCATGTAACACTGAAGACTGGAGTGATGATGCTGAAAATTCAGCTTGGCCAAAAAGGAATAAATTACGTTTTTAAAATATATTAAAACTGAAATTATATATGAAGAGCTCTTTTCCAAAACGCTATAAATCCATTTCAATAGTTTTCAGGAAAACTACATTTTTTACCTAGACCCACACATTTTGTGAATATTCAAATTATCCTGTTTAAATGTTTTATTGGTTCAGTCTGAACATTTTGAACAATAATTATTAAATCAAACAACAATATTGTTAATGATAATTTAAAAGTTAATTTAATTTTTTTCCAAAACGCTATAAATCGAAATAAACCTCAAACAAATAGTACCAATTTCAGCATATGC